CTAGCATTCACATAAAAAGCTGGGCATTTGCAGTATTGGGTCAGTGCAGACAGGAATTCCCAAGGGTTTATTGGCCAGTTAGTCTAGCTAAAATTGTGGGCTCTAGGTTCAGTGAGAGATCCTGTTTCAAAACTTAAGGTAGATTGACATTTGGGTGAGTCCTTTGGTGTGAATTTCAATAGCAACTTGTCAAGACAGAATATGCTCACTTGTTCAGCAGTGGCATGACTATTAAGGGACCCATGCATGGTACTATAAACCTGGTAAAAACAAACGCAAAAACAAAACATATGATTTGGAAAGTCATAGGCCCCAGGGGATACTTACTGGTGCTATTTAGTTAAACTGACAGGGCATCATAACTGCCTTATAAATATCAATGTTAATATCCATAGTAAATGGTACTTTAAGCCTCAATGAGAGGAAGCTTTCTTTGTAGTAAAAGTCAGTGAATGTAGTAAAAGTCAGACTCACTGCTGCTAAAGGTATTCAACCTTAATCATGATATATATATCATACCCCCTAGGGCTCATGGAACATTATGGAAGAGGAGGGAGAAAGAATGTAAGAGATGAAAAATGGGGAGAAGAGCTTCAAAATGCCATATTCTGAGCATGTCACAATCATTGCAATCTTGAATTCATAGCAGTGGGGGTTACTTGCACTAAGCCTGCCAATAATCAGTCATGGATGGAGGGGAGGGGAGCTCATGGAACCCTAACCTCCCCAGGTGAACTATTGATTATTGGAAGATTCTGGACAAAGGGAGAGTCACTGTCTTCATCTGTGTACCCACTGGTGATTCCACCAATCTCCAAAGGATATCTTCAAGCCCATGGTCACATAGACAGTCCTAGATAAACTTAATAGATCACAAGAAGACATGAGTGTGGGAACATTATTTGTAGGGAAGAGGAGTTTTGAGAAGGTGGGAAGTAAGAGTGATTAGAATTCATTTTATACATGTATGAAGATGTCAAAGAACAAATACAACTAATAAAAAGATGCAGAAGTGATAGAGGAAGACATCTCAACTTCAACCTCTGGTTTCCACATGGACTAGAACACTGCCAAACACAGAGGTATACACATGCATGCACTGCACAAACAAATAAATATCTCTAGCTCTACCAACTCTAAATAGAAGTCTCTGTTACTGTTTGATCTTACCTAAGTCTTAGAGAGATTAAGCAACCAGTGGAAAGCCACATAACATCAACTGGCATGGCAGAAAACACACTGAGATTCTAACTCATTGGGAAGATGGTCTTACATCTTCCTTTCTGTTGCTGTTTGTTTTTGCTCTTTTGGGGGGCCCACCACCCAACTCCCAAATAAATCACACATGGAGGCTTATTCTTAATTATAAATGCCTGGCCTTAGCTTGACTCGTTTCTAGCCAGCTTTTCTTTTTTTTTTTTGTTCAAGATGTAAATGCCTTTATTAATAATTTAAGGCACATGTATTTATGCCATTTGATATTTCTCAGGTTCAGGGAAGCAATTAAGTTTTGCTCAAGTTGCTGATCAGACAGAGTATCTCCAAGTCTAGCCAGCTTTTCTTAACTTTAAATTATCCTATCTATCTTTGGCTTCTGGGCTTTTATCTTTCTCTCTTCCTGTACACCATTCTTTACTTCTTACTCTGTGGCTTGCTCTGTAGCTGGATGGCTAGCCCCTGGAGTCCTCCTCCTTCTCTGGCTCCTTTTCCTTTCTCCCAGATTTCCCCTTCTATTTATTCTCTCTGCCGGGCAGCCCTGCCTATCCTTTCTCCTGCCTTTCTATTGGCCATTCATCTCTTTATTAGACCATCAGGTTTTTAATTTTTATTTTATTTATTTAATTTTTTTTTTTTGAGACAGGGTTTCTCTGTGTAGCTTTGGTGCCTGTCCTGGATCTCACTCTGTAGACTAGGCTCACCTCAGACTCACAGAGATCCACCTGGCTCTGCCTCCTGAGTGGTGGGATTAAAGGCATGCACCACTGACACCCAGTCATCAGCTGTTTTAGACAGGCAAAGTAACACAGCTTCACAGAGTTAAAATAATGCAACACATCTTTGCATCATTAAAACAAATGTTCCATAGCATAAACAAATGTAACACATCTTAAAATAACATTCTATAACATCCTTCTGTTTTCAGTCAAGGCTCTTCCACACTGAGTGTTATACACATTGTCCTTTGAAATTGTGATTTTTGCTGTCTACAACGTTGTCTTACTTTGGGTTTCTATTGCTATGAAGAGACACCATGACTATGGCAACTTTTATAAAGGAAAATATTTAATTGGGTTTATTATACAGTTTCAGACCATTATCATCATGGCAGGACATGGTGGTGTGTAGGCAGACATGGTGCTGGAGAAGGAGCTGAGAGTTCTACATTTTGATTTGCAGGCAGTAGAAGCAACTGTGTGTTTTACTGGGCATAGTGTGAGCATAGGAGACCTCAAAACCTGCCATCCACAATGACACCCTTCCTCCAACAAGGCCAACAACCTACTCCAACAAAGTTGTAAGTCCTAATAGTGCCACTCCCTTTGGAAGCCATTTTCTTACAAACCACTCCATAAACCTACATCTCTTTTAGGATAATTATGGAAGAATCTGTTCAGATTTTAGTCATTTTTTGCTTTCTCAGTCATGATCTATGAGAAAGGAGTTTTTTTTAAGTCCTTAGTCTCTATAAATCTAGAAAAATTTTATTTTAAATAAATGAAGATAGCAGTTAGGGATTTAGGTCTAAAGAAGACAATTGAAAGCTGGCAGTTTAATATTGCATTCATTCTGTCACTGTATTGAGGAATATGAAAATAAATCAGTAACTATGTTTAGAGCATTATAACATAGGCTTCAGAACTGATCCTTGGACTAGAAAACTGATCCCTTGATGTTGTTTTTGTGGTAGTAGCAGCTTGTCCCTCACAGGAAAAACAAAAAGCTACAAAAACCCAAATATGTCCCTATTGATCCAGATGAATCTAATAGGTTTTCTGTACTTCGATAGTAAGTTTCTCTACTGATGCATTAAGCTAGATCAAGCCAAATTGAAAAAGTAAAAGAACAGGTTGATTTTGAGCAAAGCAACTCCCAGGTGAGTTCTCCAGCCCCCAGAGATTGAGGCAGGGGAAGAGGCAGGAGAAGTCAAATGCTGGAACTAAAGCAGGGAGCTTAAATACATTGTATATGAGGGCTGATGACGTGCCCTCCATAAGCTGGTTTTGTGCCCAAGTATGGTATGCTTTAGGCAGGGACTTGGGTCACTGGCAATTTTAGGGGAGGAGCTGTCACAGCTGCCAAGCCTGCAGACTGGGCTTTGTGGTGCCTTTTCTTTGCTGGAGATTTTCTGAGAGGGCAGGGTTTGGAGAGAGAGGATTGGGACTTTTCAGATCATGCAGGGGTGAGCTGGAGGTTCCAGCAAAACAAAATAAATGTAACTTTAATGTGCTCATACATTTGCATTATGTGTTCTAACTAATGGGCAGTGCTGTTGTGTGTCCTTTACATGTGTATCATTCACTGTAAATGTTAAGTACCACACAAGTAAAGAGAGGTGTGGCAAGAGTTTCAAAGAATTGTTTCTTCATGGGTTTATATAACAGACAAGCCAGGGTGAGATCCATTTCAGCAAAGGTTGTAGTAAGAGTCGTTCTCTTAATTTTATTTTTTAAAATATGCACAGTGGAATTAGAAAGTCTATTAAAAATGATCTCATTAGAAGCTTGGTGCTAGAGAGTTGGCTCAATTGTTAAGAACGCTTATTGTTCTTGCAGAGGACATGTGTTCAGTTCTCAGCACTCACATGGCAGTTCACAACCACCTGTAATTTCATTTCCAGGGCCTCTGACACCCTCTTCTGGCTTCCAAGGGCACTGTACTCATATGATGCATATACTGACACAGACTTATACAAATACATATTTAAAAAATAGATCTTTAAATAAAAAGCTTATTTGGTAGGCAAATATAGCATATTGTATCTTTTAGTCTTTCTAAAACTAAAATAAATTATAAGTAAAAGTTCTTGGGAATTTTGTGATGATGCAACAGAAGCCAAGTTTATGGGGCTGTTTTTGAGCCCCCAAATGATCTTACCGTCTAAAGGAACAAAGAGGATGCTTAATATAAATGCCAAAAAATTACCTTGAAAACTAGAAGCATACTAATACTCCTCAAAAGAAAAACTTAAATACAGAATGTTTACAGTGTTTTTCTTCCTCAGGTATGTGTCTCACTTCCCCTATATAGTGACTCTCAATAAAGCCCTGGGAAATAATTAGCCTTCCCATATCTTTTTAAATATTCATGACTTCAGGTGGCTTATAACCCCTTTTGCTTTCATTTTCCACCCTGGCAGAATTTGGCCACATTTCCATCAACTGGGAATTAAAAAAGTTAAATCCCAAATTTGTGAAAGCCATCATGTTATTTACAGACTATGTATAAGTTAAAGGTTTGTGAAATATTTTATCTTCAAAATCAGATGTGTACAGTCTAATTTTAAATTAAGCTTGGTTAAGGATGCTTTTTATCTGGTGGGGATTTATTTTTTTTTTATTTTTTTTTTTCACAATGAAGTCTTCCTAAATTTTATTGGCACTGAAATAGAACACAGATTGAGCATAAACCCCTCCAAAACAATTATTTAAAAAACAAAAATACACAAAAAAAACCTGAATAAAAATTCTAACCTTTTCCCCAGTCTCTGTGGGGGTGGGTTATTGCCCGTAATGCAGCTAGATTGCCCCCACAATTCCAGGTTTGAATTTAGCCAATATAGGGCAGCTCACCAAGTGTCAATATAATTCACAGCAATGCATATAAGATTCCCCAAGGTGAAGTAGAAGGGGCATGGGCTGAGGGAGGCTCTGGGCTAGGGGTACTGCATGGAGGGACAATACAGCCTTTGGGGGACTGAACCCTGGGGAAAAGGCAAACAGGAACAATAAAATCAAATATTAAGTACATTTTAAATGGATTGTATGACCTATAGTGACAAGAGCTGTGGCTGGGTGTGGATGCCCTGGGACTCAACATCTATGAGCAGAATGATAGACTGACTCCTAAGATTGGCTTTCCTTGGAGTGAAATCAGGAATATCTCCTTCAATGATAAGAAGTTTGTCATCAAGCCTATTGACAAAAAAGCCCCGGACTTTGTGTTCTATGCTCCCCGGCTTCGGATTAACAAGAGGATCTTGGCCCTGTGCATGGGGAATCATGAGCTGTACATGCGTCGGCGTAAGCCTGACACCATTGAGGTTCAGCAGATGAAGGCACAGGCCCGGGAGGAGAAGCACCAGAAGCAGATGGAGCGGGCCCTGCTGGAAAACGAGAAGAAGAAGCGTGAGCTTGCAGAGAAAGAGAAGGAGAAGATTGAACGGGAGAAGGAAGAGCTGATGGAGAAGCTGAAGCAGATCGAGGAGCAGACTAAGAAGGCTCAGCAAAAACTGGAAGAACAGACCCGCAGGGCCCTAGAACTTGAGCAGGAACGGAAACGGGCCCAGAGTGAGGCTGAGAAACTGGCCAAGGAGCGCCAAGAAGCTGAAGAAGCCAAGGAGGCCCTGCTGCAGGCTTCTCGGGACCAGAAGAAGACCCAGGAACAGCTGGCTTCAGAAATGGCAGAGCTGACATCACGGATCTCTCAGTTGGAGATGGCCCGGAAGAAGAAGGAGAGTGAAGCTGTGGTGGGGATTTATTTATCTCCTAGCATTATGGTGTAGTGGGTAGCCATTCCAGCTTTGATCTGGAAGTTCCAACCCCCATTGGGACTTCGGCAACTGTCACGCCTACAAGGCGGGGCCAAGGGAGGCACCTGGGGACCCGAGATCTGGATCGGCGGGCGCGCTCTGTGGTGGGACCCTGGATAGTGGAGGTGGACCGAGCAGAGCTCCAGAGAACACCGCTGGACTGTGATACACCTACCCCAGACTCCGCGACCTACCTATCCCTTAATTTGTAAGTTACGCCATTAAATAAATCTCCTTTTAACTACGTGGAGTGGCCTTAATAATTTCACCAATATTATGGTCATAGTTGAAGCAAATTTCTTTGCCAGTGAAGAACTTGGTATGATGAAAGGGATAAATCACCTCTTATCCATGATGCTACATGCAATGTAACAAAAGCTACATTTCTGCTTATTCTGGGCACTTCATTATTCCCATTGCTGACAGACTCCCCAGTAATCCTATTTCAGAAGCCTGAGCAAACTTAAAATCACAAAGCATCAAGACACTCATCTCTGAAGGGTAGTTGGATAAGCCACCTCTTCTATCACAAAAGTGCAACTGGGTCTATTCACACACTTCATTTGGCCATTCTCAGGTAAGCAAACTCACTTTCTATTCTATTAGATTTTAAGTATGCACTTTCCATCATACATGCTCTGTCTCCTGGATCAATGCATTTTTCCTTTCCAACAAAATGCCAATTGCTTTTGCCCTGATTGGCTTCTTCATGTCCTATGTTCTTTTCAGGAAATGACTCCAAAGGCAAATGCCTATCTCACACATACTTATGAAGAGCTTTACCAACTAGAAATCTTCATTCTAAGAGAAATGATTTAAGAATTGAGCCAATAGCAACTTTTATTATCATATTCAACTAAAATAATTCTTCCAGCCTATATCATAAAAAGAGAAAGAGAGAGAAACAAATGCCTCCCCATGAAAGGCATCTCTGAGAGGCATCAGACTATGAAAGAGTAGGAGTACACCCTGAGTGATGTCTAAATTATTTCCTAGATGAGTTGAATTTGAGCCAGTGTGAACTTCTCTAGGCCTCATTTTTATCATCCTAAACTAAGGAAGTCTGTTAGGAGTTGTGAAAACTGTCCAGTGTACTATCAACATTATAACTTTGCAAGCATAGTAGATAGCATGAGCTTCTATAGTTGACTCTGCCTCTTCTACACCTATCCCTACTTCATGCATTTTGTCTCACAACAAAGTATTGATAATTAAATCACACAGGTAAATCCAATTAAGCTCCCCATTCTCTCTTTGTGCATCAGTACTGCAACCAGCTGCTGGTCATTAGAGATTCTCCACATTCAGGTAGTTCTCCATCAAACACTAATTTGAGCTCTTACACAGAGATTTTTAAGCAAAAAGGAAAAGAAAGAATTCTCTGAGAATAACTCTGAGACAACAGGAACAAAATGATAACCAGCTTTATTAAACAGATAATAAAATATTGAACAAATTATAGTACTTGTAAGCAAGGAGTTAGAAACTGAATTATTTTTCTGTATATACTTTCCTATGAAAGAGTTAACCTGTCTTAACCCATTTCTTTCTACCTTCTTGGGACTCTGAGCCTTTAGCAATGTCGATGGTAGTGCATATCCCAGCAAACATATATTTCTCAGTTCCTAGCCTTTGCAATCATCATCAAAGCTATCTGTGGAATACATTTATTACTTCTTTGTTTCTCATTTAGCTTACTTTGGGAAGCCTTCTCCTGCTTCTCTTATTTATGTGACTAAATCTATGTGCTCTAGACTACCCTACATCAAACAATGATAGTTATGTTTCTTCCTGCTTCTTTTCTCCAATATAGGTAGACAAGTCCATAAAATAAGGGGGCAGTGTATGTGAGTCTTCTAGTTCATTTCTATAGGCAGTCATTTGGGGATAGGCACCTTTGCTTTTTGGACTAGGAGCTTCTTGCTACTCTAGTGATAATCTAATGAAAAGGGAAAAAATCTTAAGTCATATAACCCAGGGAAATCAAACAAAAGTATTTTCAAAACAAGTTTGTCTATAATCACTTGATTATTTGAAAACATCCTCAGACCCTACCAAAGCTCAGTAGCTCTTAACCCTTGCTTTGCTAGCATGTTTAGTTAATAAGGATACTAAAATTACTGAGTACTTACTCTTGGCCAAGCACTGTCCTAGCTGATTTTATTAATTTTTATAACCACACCCTGAGGAAGGCTCTATTTAAATTTCACATATGAAAATAATGTGGATGAGAATGGTTAAGTAATTTGTCCAAGTTAAAATAACATATTTTGACACTGACATTAGCAGCCTGGCTCCAGAGTCTATATCTTAAAACTTTTTCAACATCTTAGCTTTCTATAATTGATTCAAGACACACAATTTGTTTGAAGTCATGATGTGTGCTAGTGAGTCATAATGAAGGATGTAGTTGAATTCCACTGAACAGTAAGAAATTTTCCAGATTATCTTTTTAAATAAAACAATTGACAGAAGCCCATGTTATTGGAGGTGGGTGGTTTATCTGTTCTCACACAGTGAAAAGTGACAGATTTGCATCTCCACACTACATCCTGATTTAATCTCAGAAAAAAAACAATTCTTTTGCTTTGGGATGGGTATTAATACCTTAAGAGGGTACTGTTTGAATATCAATAAATATAGAAGCATAGGTAATTAAAGGAAAAGGGGCTTCATCTTTTTATGGGAAAGAAAAAACAGGTCCAGGGAATTGAATGAGTATAGTTTGCTAAAGTTAGGATGTAATTAAAACCACTGATTTCCTTTTCAGAGCTCACTTTGAAGCTGGTCAATTCCTGTTATCCATTTTGGAAATATAAGTATTTCAAAAGTGCGAGAGATGTGCTGCTGTCATTGGGCTTCCATTTTTAATAATACTTTTCTTTCTTTTTACTATTAATGATAATGACAGAAAAAAGTGATAAAGAACCTGTATCTGGGCCATACAATTGTAGAAAGTAGTTCTTCTCACCTATTTCTGGGCTACAAAGGCCATGTATAGAAGTTAGCTGACAGAGACCAAGGAAAAGACAGAAGCAAACTTGCCACCCCTGGGAAAGTAGCTCAAGATTGCTAAACTCAGCCACAACCACTGTGCATTTCATGGAGAAATTCTTTTGAAGTAGAGAACCTTATCAGGTCCTTTAAATTGTCCCTCTTTCTTGAATTAATATTGTGAGGAAGGCAATTCTAAGCCTCAGATTCTACAACAGACAGGCAAGTCATTCAATCCTTACATCCTTTGTGTTTTCTATAGGTGGCCACTGACACCCTGGTGTTAAAGAATACATTTTTGTCATGCAATTCTTGCTGGGTTATTTGGCTGTAAACTGCTTTCTTTCCTTCCCTTTTGTATTTAAACACAGTCAAACCCCATGAGGTAAAGACTGAGCAGTTTCCATAATAAATTTCTTAACATAAAGTGATGCTGGAGTGTAGGTACTGCAGGAAACTTTGAATGAGTGTAGGTTTTGAATAAACATGTGTTGTTGATACTGGCATGACCATGACATGCTAAGGACTCCATGGCAAGATGGAAAAGCCCTACCACCATCCTAGAGGTTCAGAGAGATGGCCAAGTCTTCCTCAGGGAACTTAGTGCATCCTGACAGGGTGTCCAAAAAATCTCCAGCAAAATTTTCCCTCCCCAGTTACTTAGGACCTGAAGATTGCTACTCTAGAGACTTCTACTGAGATTAGCTAACTTTGTCTCCTTGATCCAGCTATATGCCGTAAACACTGCCATAAATATCTGTATGCAATAACCCTGTGTCCTTGTTCAGCGGTATGCAGTAACCCTACTTCTCTGTTCAACTCTACATAATGAACACACTGAGCACCTAGGGTGCTGAAGGTTCTCCAGCCAAGAGCCAAGGGCACCTTTTGTTGTGTCTGTCTGTCTGTCTGTCCCTTGCTGTCCCTATTTAGATCCAAGTTCCAGGAAGCTGTGCATGGATGTGGCACTAGTATGTTAACAGACCATGTGTTCCTATATATACTAGGGTTGATCTTACTTAAGTACAAGGGATTGAACTGCATTTTCAATAGTATTCTAATGCTGTTTCTCTCTTTTTATTTATTTGGTTTTGATGGTGTTACTTTTTGCTGAACTAAATTGAATTGATTAGTACTTTCAGGAAAGTCTTCTTCCTGCTCCTCCAGCCACCACAGCCCCTGGACCAAGACAGGACTATCACCAAAGACAATCAGTCCATTGATGGCTCAGATTTTTGTTTCTTAAGAAATTGAGCACAGAACCACAAGAACTCTAACAATTTAGGGGCCAGGGGTTTGAGCTGAAAAGCCAAAGAAACAGTCTGATTTACTAGTGTGGCAAGTGAAAGCTAACAAGAAGCAGACCCTAATAAAGAACCCAAACTCTGGAAATAAGGGAGATCTGGCCAAAAAGTAGTTGAAAAACCACATGGCTTCAGAAGAATGGAGGTAACAATTCTACTACTCTAAGGAGCATCAATTTCCTGGTCCCATCTTGGAAACCGTAACTTCTTCCTTCCACATTGTCAGCCAGATAGAACATGCCATCACAAATGTTATGAGACATAGGAACCTCAACTGGAATGAGATAATTACATGCTTCAGATTTTTGAAAGATCTCTGTTCATCATGTTACTATATAAAATCTATATTGGTGTAGAACAAATTTATTAGCAATATAGTTAATTTGAGCTCTATTACCACAAAGGTGATCATTTCTTGAACAAGAAATGTACCTAACTTCAGGCTTGAGATAATGATGGCATGAATTTAGATCTACAGAGAGCTCAGATTTATAAAATGGTCCCAGAACTTGATATGGTCTAAACTAAAATACATGCGACACTTTCAACATCAAGTATTCTAAACACACAGAGTGCTTCAAACACATACACACTGTCTGTCTGTCTCTGTCTCTCTTACACACACACACACACACACACACACACACACACACACACACACACACACACACACAC